AACCCATTCCCAGTACAAACCAGTAACCCCAAACCCATTCCCAGTACAAACCAGTAACCCCAAACCCATTCCCAGTTCAAACCAGTAACCCCAGACCCATTCCCAGTACAAACCAGTATAAACCAGTTACCCGCAGTTCTCCGCCAGCTCCCCCAGCGCCCCCAGCGCCGCCTCGGCCAATCCGGGGAAAGCTCCGCCCACTTCCGCCCTGCGAGGGGGCGTGGCATGACCATAAATGGGCATTAGGCCACGCCCCCTTTAGCCCCAGGCCACGCCCACCCGGCCCAGGCCACGCCCACCCTGCCAAGGCCACGCCCACTCACAGCTCAGGCCCCGCCCACTCCTCGTCCTCCATTGGCTCCGCCCCCTCCTCATCGTCATGGAAACCCAGCAGCCAATCAGGGGCGTCGGAGGGGGGCTGGGGGGGGAAAGGGAGAGGTATGGACCAGTATGGACCAGTTTGGACCAGTATGGACCAGTATGGACCAGTATAAACCAGTATGGACCAGTACAGACCAGTACAGACCAGTATAAACCAGTATGGACCAGTATGGACCAGTATGGACCAGTATGGACCAGTATGGACCAGTACGGACCAGTATGGACCAGTATGGACCAGTATGGACCAGTATGGACCAGTATAAACCAGTACAGACCAGTGCAAACCAGTATAAACCAGTCCAAACCAGTATAAACCAGTATAAACCAGTATAAAAAATCCCCCTTTTCCCCATTTTTAACCCTTTCACTCCCTCCCACCACCCCCAAACCCCCTCCCAGTCCCCTCCCAGTCCAAACCAGTAACCCCAGCCCCCAAACCAGTACAAACCAGTATAAACCAGTACAAACCAGTAACCCCAGCCCCCAAACCAGTACAAACCAGTATAAACCAGTACTGACCGGCGGCGGCGGGGGGCGCAGCGCCCCCTGCAGGAGCGGCAGCGCCTGGGGCAGCAGCGGCGCCGTCCCCTCCCCCAGGAGCTCCGAGACGGCCGAGAGCAGCGCCAAACTGGGAGGAACTGGTTTGGACTGGGAGGGAACTGGGGGGGACTGGGAGGGACTGGGAGGAACTGGGAGGGACTGGGAGGGAACTGGGAGGGAACTGGTTTATACTGGGAGGGAACTGGGAGGGACTGGGAGGGACTGGGAGGGACTGGGA